TAATACCACTATTATTCAAATTTATGCGCCAACCAGTAAAGCCAGTGAGGATGAAATAGAAAAATTCTACCAATTTCTTCAATCTGAAATTGATCAAACATGCAATCAAGATGTACTGATCATTAGTGGTGATTGGAATGCAAATGTTGGGAGCAAAGAGGAAGGATCAGTAGTTGGAAAATATGGCCTTGGTAATAGAAATGATACTGGAGAACGCATGGTAGAATTCTGAAAAAATCAATGATTTGTTCATTTCAAACACCTTCTTCAGATAGCATAAGAGATGACTCCAGATGGACCTCACCAGATGGAAAAGCTCCATATCATCACAGTCAAAAAAAGGCCAGGGGCAGACTGTGGAACACATCATTAATTACTCATATGCAAATTCAAACTGAAGCTGAAGAAAATGAAAACAAGTCCATGAGAGCCAAAATATGAGCTTGAATATATTCCACCTGAAATTTAGAGATCATCTGAAGAACAGATTTGATACATTAAACACTAAAGACTAAAGACCAGAAGAGTTGTGAGATGACAAGAAGAAACGAGGAGGTACAAGAGCTGAACAGAAAATTTCAAAGATCAGCTCAAGAAGATAAAGTCAAATATTAAAACAAAATGTGCAAATATCTGGAGTCAGAACACCAAAAGGGAAAAACAAGCTCAGCATTTCTCAAGCTGGGGGAACTGAAGAAAAAATTCAAGCCTCGACTGTCCTTATGGAAGGAGTCTTTTGAGAAAATTATTGAATGATGCAGAAAACATCAAGAGAAGATGGAAGGAATACACAGAGTCACTGTACCAAAAGGAAATGGTTGATGTTCAACCGTTTCAAGAGGTAGCATATAACCAAGAGCCAATGATCCTAAAGGAGGAAGTCCAAGGTGCATTGAAGGAATTGGCAAAGAACAAGGCACCAGGAATTGATGGAATAAAAATGGAAATCTTTCAAGAAAGATTTCTGCCAAGAAATCTGGAAGAAATTTGGAAGACAACTATCTGGCCGACTAGATTAGAAGAGATCTGTACTTGTGCCCATTCCAAAGAGAGGTGACCCAACAGAATGCAGACATCATCAGACAAGCTCATTGATACCACATGCGAGTAAAGTTTTACTAAAGGTAATACAGAAATGGCTGCAAGCATACACTGAGACAAAGAACTTCCAGAGGTTCAAGCCGGATTCAGAAGAAGCCGTGGAATGAGGGATATCATTGTTGATGTCCGATGAATCTTGGATGAAAGCAGAGAGTATCAGAAAGTTGTCTACCTATGCTTTATTGACTATGCAAAGGCTTTCGATTGTGTGGATCATGATAAGCTATGGACAACATTGCGAAGTATGAGTTTCCGGAACACTTAATTGTGTTCATGAGGAATCTGTACATAGACCAAGAAACAGTTTTTCGAACAGAACATGAGAACACTGAATGGTTTCAAATAAAGAAAGGTGTACAACAAGGTTATATTTTTTCACCATACTTATTCAACCTGTATGCTGAGCAAATAATACGAGAAGCTGGGTTCTATGAAGAAAAACATGGCATCAGG